ATACCTTTATTCAGTGTGAGGATTAACAATATTGTTATGCTGAGTTAATTATAAACACAATAAGGTCATGGTCAGCTGGTTATTATCACAAAGTGAGCTAATTCAGCCTATTATACAAACACTCTAACAAAAAATTTTTATGTACATTATGCACAAGTATTTTTCAAAGTTTACTTTTCTACAATATCATGTTCACAGGTAAAAATCCTTGCAGGACACTAAACACAAATCTAATGTTGTAAGAATGAATCTTTGTCCTTCTGAGTAAACACTAAGCTCAAACGATCCTCCTGCCTTGGCCTCCCAGAGTGCTAGGATTACAGGTGTGAGCCACCGCTCCCAGCCATTACTACCTTTTAAGTATAGAAAAATGTTAAGAAAACTCAGTCATACAGATAAATAAAAAGGGATAGAATTTTGTTACAGTGATGCCACTCAATTCTTGAACTCTTTGCAATTTATGTGTCAAAAGTCACAAACTAATATATCATCAAATTATTTTTATGATCATTTAGTTGACAATTTAAGTCTTCTTTAGTTTTGTTGAAAGCAAAGAAGGCCCACTCCCACTGAAGGCCTATTGTTCAAGTCATGTTCCTTCTCAATTCCTTGGGAAGTTAGCCAAAAAGCTTTTACTGAGACTTTTCTATAACTCTTTCACTTAAGAGTCATCTTGCTTACAGAGCTTAAAGTTAGGCAAAACTGAGTAAAAACATAACCATAAAATTGGAAATTTTACAGATTTCTTGAAGATTATTATTTATATATAGATTAGAAATTTTATGACAGAAAAATAACAATGCTTTTATGAACTAGAACAGAATATAAGTATCTGAGAAGAATTAACCCTAATTAAGTAAAGGTGATTTTCTAGTTAAATGTACTATGTCCTAGACTACATTTTGGGAACATTTATTCCTATACCTACATATATGTTCATCAAACTAAGACATATTTTTTAACATCTCTGGAATTAAGATGCATCTTATAATCAATGACATATCACAGTTTAACTGTCAGTGTTTTTACTACATGGCATATAAGAGAATAGTGAATCTTTTAGCAACAGCATCTTAGATGATAAACTGGAAATGAAGAGCAAAAAAGGAAGATAAAATAAGTCACTAGTAAGTTCAGGGCTTATACAAGGTATATGGATGAGTATTAGTCTTATTTACAGTAAAATACCACAATATATTTCTGTTAATTTAAATTGAAGTACATAATGGGAATAAAAGAAGCAGAGATCTAAGGATACCCTAATCACAAAGAAAAAAAAAAAGGCAGAGAAATGGTTGAGTTACAATAACGGGAGACTTTGGCCTACACATAACAATTAATATGGATTTATAAAACCTAAGAATATACTGGCAAAGGTTAATGAAACTGTTTCTCCTAAGAATCTGAAAAATGTTCCAGAAAATATAAAACCATCAACTTATCTCTAAAACACCTTCTTTTAATTTGAAGTTGTAATTTTAGTATGCCAGAAGTAAATATGGAACTTTTAACTTCTTTGAAATCATGCAAATTACGCTGAGACAATGAGACAGGAATTAGAACATGTTCATCAGGTTGTCATTGGGAATGGTAGAAATATAAAGCTTGCTTCACAGCAGATTCACCAAAATTAATCATGCATTTATACCTTGAATATTCTAATTCTTTGAAGAGGCAAAGAGCCTTACCATTTACTTGTTGCCTAAAAATGAGGTGCCTTTCCCTTCATGTTATATATATATATATATATTTATTTATTTTTTGAGACACAGCCTCACTCTATCACCTGGGCTAGAGTGCTGTGGCATCAGCCTAGCTCACAGCAATCTCAAACTCCTGGGCTCAAGCAATCCTTCTGCCTCAGCCTCCTGAGTAGCTGGGACTACAGGCATGTGCCACCATGCCTGGCTAATTTTTTCTATATATTTTTTTAGTTGGCCAATTAATTTCTTTCTATTTCTGGTAGAGATGGAGTATTGCTCTTGCTCAGGCTGGTTTCGAACTGACCCAAAGTGATCCTCCCGCCTTGGCCTCCTAGAGAGCTAGGATTACAGGCGTGAGCCACCGCGCCTGGCCCCCCTTCATGTTATATTCATGCTCTTTGCTTTCCTTTTACACAATTCACCCACAGGAGAAATGGCTTTTTAAATAGTCAGGAGACAAAAATAGGAGATAAAAAATAATAGGAGACAAAAAAGGCAAGGCCATTAAACAAACACTGTCATCATTCTTATCTCCTAACTTGATGATACACCTGAATTTTTAACGTCTCCGCATGGGCCAATCAATATAACCCATTTCTAATGCCACACTTCACCTATAATTAAAATACATTAACTACTACCATGCTCCCTTAATTAGGACCGTCATAAAAGTCTGCTCAGTTTCAAAGGGAAGGGACATAACTCCACATCTTGATGGAGATAGTGGCAAGGTTCTGGAAGAGTCTGTGAGACTTGAAATATCGTTGGGATCATTTTTATACAATATAACTTGCCAAAAGTTTCTTTTGTAAAATGAGAGAAAGGTGAGTATGAAAAGGCAGAAGGGAAAAGGAGAATTGGCATGATCCCTTGATCAAGGACATGTTCCTCAGTAGATCAATATTAACAAAGAGTTCACAGTAATCAAAGATCTAAATTTATATTCCCTTAAAACTACATATGCCTGCATGTCCCTTGGAAAGCTGAATACTCCCTGGAGTATGGATCCCTTGTGTGAAGACCCTACTATTGACTATAATACTGTTCTTTAATTACCTTGAGTTTTTAAGATGTATACTTAACTATAAATTTTTCAAAAAAGTTATACAGCATTTCTTTGGAGGTAAAAATGTATTCTGGAACACTAAAAAGCAATCACTTTCCATTTTAAAGAGTCAATTCCTTTCATTCAGCTAAAAAAAAAAAAGAATAGAAACAAACCAGATTATTAATGCTACAGAATTTTGAAAACTGAATATACTATCAATAGTTTATGTACCTTTCCTGAGGACAAAAAATGTTTTCTCTTAAAAGTCAAAAAAAGCTAGATCTCTGGAAGTAGATGCTGATAAACTTAGCAAGAAAGAAATTTTACCTTTGTTTCATATTATATACTTACAGTGAAATAAAATGTACATAAACCATTAGAAGAGTTGAAATTTGAATGTCCTCCAAATATGATATGAATACACTGGCACAAAATCCTAACTTTCTTTTTCATCTTTGCCAATAACCCAATGATCTCTAAGAGATGCCTTAATAATTACTTCCAAGTGCTATTTCCCAAAGATATTTTCATCATATAGCATGACCTCAACACATCTGGGAAGACAAGCTGTTAGGGAATAAGGGCTTTTCTGTTAAAATACTGGGGAAAAATTACTAAGTTATCTTTTATATACAGGGGAGTAGGCAGAGCAATACAGTAGTTATAACAAAATTTCTAGTATTCATTAATCAAATATTTATTAAGTACCTACTATTTTGCAGGCACTATTCTGAAACTAGACATAGGGGTAAATGAGACAGAGAGTAATAGCTATCACTTATTGAGTGCTTATTATGTGCCAGGCCCTGGCCTATGAGTTTCACACATATAAACCCATTTAATCCTCAAACACAATACCTCTCTGACACAGGTACTATTAATTTCCTCATTTTACATATGAGAAAATTGAGGCATAGAGAAGTGAACTTGTCTAGGTAGTAACTGGTAGAAACAGAATTTCCAAAATCCTGCCTGTCATGGAGTTTTTGTTAATCTAAAATCCTTCCATTCTTATTTTCTTCTTTGCCTCTGTGAGAAATTGAATGAATAGATAGAACTGGGTATGGCTCAAATAGGTGGTATGACCATTTCATTTTTAGGTATTTCTGAAAATACTGAAACAAAATTTTTTTTTTTTTTTTTTTTGAGACAGAGTCTCACTTTGTTGCCCAGGCTAGAGTGAGTGCCATGGCGTCAGCCTGGCTCACAGCAACCTCAAACTCCGGGGCTCAGCGATCCTACTGCCTCAGCCTCCCGAGTAGCTGGGACTACAGGCATGCACCACCAGGCCCGGCTAATTTTTTGTATATATATTTTTAGTTGGTCAATTAATTTATTTCTATTTTTGGTAGAGACGGGGTCTGGCTCAGGCTGGTTTCGAACTCCTGACCTTGAGCAATCCGCCCGCCTCGGCCTCCCAAAGTGCTAGGATTACAGGCGTGAGCCACCACGCCCGGCCTGAAACAAAATTTTAACTGGCTCTATCTTAGTTCTGTGATCTCAAGATATCTAGAGTTTGCATTGTATAAGATTTTGTTTACATAGTTAGTTGGTGAGAAAGTTTTTTCATATTTTTCTCAATTACTGTATGTGTATATATATCATCCCTCCCTTTGGAAAACCAATTTTCTATTCCAGGTAACCCTAGTGAGGCTAAAGATCAAAGAACTCTGTCTCATTATAGGATGTGGGTTCATAATTCAAGCTAATTAGGTCTCACTGCTTTGGTCACATTTAATTGTTTCAAGAACACAAAAACATAATCTAAGAATGGTCAATCTGTCTTCTCTGGGATTGACGGAGTTGAGAGATGTCCTTTTGGTAATGGAAGTGATTTGAGACTGCTGGTTGCCATCTTCTTTGGCCTCAAGAGAAAATGACTCCACAATGCTGACAGATAAAGAGTAGAGAAATTCAGACAGAATTTTGATCTAGCTATTCATGGTCTATCCCTACCTTTTCCAGTTAAATGAGCATAAACTTATGCGTGAGTTTCTGGGACTTCAAGTTTTAATGTGTTTTTACAGAAGTATTAGATAAAATATGCATGTAGACAATGGTTATGATGAATATGAATTATAACTTTCCATTACATGAACACATACAGATCTACTGCTCAAAGAATAGTTTATCTATTTCACTTTCAAAACTAGTTTGTAAAACATTTACCTATGACTTCTAAGTGATTACAAAACATTATTTTAATTGTTCTGCTTTTTTTTTATCATACCACAAAACCACAATATAGCTAGAAAGACAAAATGTTTTATTTTAAAACATTGGAAAAACATTAAAAGACAAATGTCCATTACATAACAAGGAATGTTAAATATGGAAACTGTAAATCTTCTAAAATGTGATAGGCACTTCTAGAGAGCTAAATACTGCAAAACTACCTTCTTCTCTAATTAATCAATAATCCTTGATATGATTTAAAAAAATACCAAAAAGGCCCTAATTAATAAATCAGAGTCATCATCTTTGGGTTCAACTTATTAATACAAGTTTTGTCCAAGATGTTCCTGACACATGAAGCTTCCAGTTGAATTTCAGAAATGTTAACAAAAGTATCTTCCTTTTTTGCCTGTGAATGTTTGGGTATTGCTGTATTGTTGGCTTATATCCACTACAGATACTGGTTCTAGGCCAGCCCAAGGGTCTTCAAGCATTGAAGGCTTAAAATAACTTTCCAACTCATTAGACATTCTTTTTTCTCTACCACGCCCTGATCCAAATGGTGTAGATGTCCTTGGAGAACCCTTTAGAAAAAAAACCATCAGTTAAAAAAACATTTAGTAGAGATAACTGGTACTTTTTCCTTTAAATAAAGGCTAGTGGGGATCACATTCCTAGTTAAAAGTTGTGACGTGAACCTAAATATGCTCAATTGCAAAGTCCATGCTTCTTTTAATCTAGTGTTTTTGTTTTTAAAAGAGTATTTAAATCAATTTAGTATACTTATTTATTACTAATTCCATGACCATTGTCATCACAAATACTTTTAGGTTTCTAATGTAGTAACTTTGCAGTTATTAAATACAAGTGGTGATGAAATCAAGTAGTGGTGAAATAAATTTATATTCAATTTTCCCTCTACATTTCCACTTTTTTCAGGAGAACAATTGTAAAGTTTCTATATCTTATGAAAATTTTCCTTACTCTTTTTAGCCCCTGGCTCAAAGGCAGTGGTGATGGTTTAGAATACACAAAGTTGGAAAACCACTGAGCAGATGTAAGTCGTAAACCACAGTAATCCTAGACACACCAGAAATACTCCCATGTCTCTTGTATTCACTGTCACTGTGAGAAATGGGAAACTTCTACTACCACCGATTTTCCCTTGAGAGAACTTGGAGCAGAAACCAATGTAGCTCGAAAAAAAGATAAAGGCAAGAATAAAAAGAAAAAGAAAACAGGTGATTGCTGTAGAAAGATGGCACCAGCCTTTAACCTAGATAAGCACTATCCTGGGGACTCATTCACTTTTTTCCCCCTTCAGAGCCCAGGGGCTCAGAATAATTTACTGAGAACAAATTGGCAAGGCCCCTCCCTGGCAAAGAAGAGGAAATGGAGACTTAGAAAAATCTGTGAGTGGCAGTGCACTGGTTAAAAGCTCTAGAACAGAACGTATGCTTCCGGTACTTTTTTAGGCTAATCTTCAGAAAGTTACTTAACTTCTCTAAGCCTCAGTTTACTCGTCTGCAAAATAGGGCTAACAGTAGCATCTCACCTCATAGAGGATTAAACAAAATAATCCACATAAAGGGAATATTAGTACCATGCCTGCCATACAGTAAGAGCTCGGCAAACGCTGGCTATTATTACCTGGGGGTGGGTCTGCTGCTGCCCTGGGGAGTAGCCGAAATGCTGCTGGGACCCCGCGGGGGACTTGGAGTAGGAGCCAGGGTAGCCGCCAGGGGACGGAGACCCGAACCGGCCCCCCGGGAAGCTGCCGCTGTGTCTCGGAGAGTGGCTGCTCCCGTAGGGCCTAGACCACGGCCCGTACGGCGGCGTGTGGTGCGGACTCCCGTCCCCGTCCCGAGGGGAGGGCGGCCGTGGTCCGCCTCCGCCTGGGGTACCCCGGAAGCTGTTCCCGCTACCCCAACCTCCTACACCCGGGCCGGGGCAAGGAGGAGTTGGGGGCCGAAAATTCTGTCGCTGCATATCAGGAGCCGAAATCAAAGGTCTCAATGCCGCCTTCTCCCACCGGAACTGTTACCGACCGACCCTTCACAGAGAACTGGTAGTCCTTTACTAAAACAGTCCTCCGGCCGCCGGCGCCATATGGCACATTGGTTCCGGCGTCACAAATGTTCCGCAAGGAGCGGCGGAATAAATGGGTTACTGAAGTAGGTTAGAGAGATTGAGTGGATTTAAGTGAAGGAAGGAAGAAGAACAAGAATAAGGGAAAGGTCGAACACTACCCCAGCAACGACCTTTCCAGTCTGGCTGCTCTGGGTCGGACGGAAAGACGAGATGTCGGCTCCACGGCTGACGTGACCCTAGGGGCGCTCCGCTCCGCCCATTGGGGGCGGGGACGGGATCTGAGGTGTTCGCGGGCGCCCCTGGTGGCTGCGGGTGGCGCCGCGCTGGGTTTGCCCCTCACACCGGACCGAGGCTAGCTGACAGGCGCGCGATGCTGGCGACCCTGGCGAGGGTGGCGGCTCTGCGGAGAACCGGCCTCCTCTCCTGCCGGGGTGGCGGGAGGGGGCTGTGGACAAGCCACCCGCAGTCAGGTACCCTCCGAGATTCGGTCTGCGTGACGAAAGGGAGCCCAGCCCCGGCTTTCCTCGTGGGGGCACCCTGAGGCGAGCGCCGGCGCGCGCTCTCATGAAGTCTGCTGTCCGCGTAGCTCGCCCTTTGGCCTTTCCCGCCCCCTCGCTCTGTGACGGTGTGGCCGTGAGGCCGTGTGGCCGTGTGGCCGGCCTCTCCCGGCTCTTCCGCGGCCGGGGGTCGCGCTGCCCGGCGCCGGGGCCAAGGGCTTTCCGCTGCGGGGTCCGGCCGCTGCGCCGTCGCACTTGGCGCGCGCCTTGCCTCTCTCTCTCCTGTACCCCTGCCCTCTCGTCTGGCAAGTTTAAATAGCTTTAAAAATGTACGCCAGCCGCATTTCAGAAAGGACTGTAGCCTGCAGCTTTGAACAATTTTAGGGGGAAGGCTATGCTGGCAAATGCCGGACTTTACCCCTTTCCGTGCAGTTCTTGTTAAGTGGAAGCTGGTTAGGAGGCAGAGTTGCGGATTTTCAAAAAGAGCAAAATGTGTCCAGAACTCTTAAAATCCTGATTGTTTCACAAACTTTTAGTCACAGAGAAAATTATGATAGTTCAAGAATGACACCTCATAATGAAACACGCCTGTCCCAGAATTTTATTTAGAGGATGAAATTTAGATGTACTACATTTTTACAGAACTCTCTTTACTCCCTCAGGATGTGGGAATGGTAATCCACTGTGGCTCTTGAAATCAACTTGTAGGACACAGAATCCTAAAGCACTTTAAGATGCATCAAATCATAGCCTATTGGGTAGCCTGGATGTGTGCTTTTCATTCAGTCTGTGCACCCTCTTGTAGCTGCTACTCCTCACTCTCGTCTCTTTGACATGTTATGTGACCTACCAACCTGAAGAGTGTGGTATCTTCTCGGCTTTTATCCTCTTTGATGAATGGAGAGAAAAACACAGGGCTTTTTTTTGTTTGTTTATTCTAGGGGAATTTATTCACCATGTTTCTTTAATCCTGTAGACGCAAGTTGTAGAGTCCATCAAGGCAGGATAATGCCTGCAAGACTTAGTGATACCATTAAGGCCTGAAGGCCCACTTTATTGTAATGTATGCAAGTAGTTCAGCCCTGGCCAAAAATTCACCTTTCTGGACATTGTCTTTGGTGCTTAACTTAATGCCTGGTAATTGGCTATTCAAATATGTATTGAATGAAAGAATGAATCATATAATCATATAGGTCAGTGATTTTCACCTTTTAGATCAAGCAGTCGATTTGGGGGAGGGTGGAGAAGGGTGAGGGTGATGGGGACCAAAATTACCTTTATTTTCAAATTTGTACTTTTAAAAATATTTTATTTATCTATTTTTTAGAGACAGGGTCTCACTCTGTTGCCCAGGCTGGAGTGCAGTGGTGTGATCATAGCTCACTGTAACCTCAAACTCCTGGCCTCAAGTGATCTTCCCACCTCAGCCTCCTAAAGTGCTGAGATTACGGATATTAAGCTACCGTGCCAGGCCTTAATATTTTTTTATAACTGGCAAAAGACATGCATAATTGGGTCTTAGCCTGATGAGTAAAGTATTATAAATTGTCTTTTTTACTTGGCTTACACTTCCAGAATGTGCTTCCCTGTAGTTATATCTCACTACTTTTTACATATATGAACTGGCATTAAAAATGGGGGAGGGGAAGAAATACAGTGGAAAATTTTTGACAGGTGGATTATGCCTGACTGTGCCTCTCATCACATTTGCAAATATAGATGAAGATTGATGGAGAACGAATTCTTAATAATTATATGAAAACTCCAGATTCCACTTGGATCACTTTAGAGACTAGGCTACTTTCCTTTTTATAGATGAGAAATTGGTCAAGAGAAGTTAACTACTTGCTTAAATTCACATAATAAGCATAAGGGAGCCAGAACTCAGTCTTCCTGAATCTCTGGCATTTTTTCTTAGGAAATATGAATTGGCAATCAGCCCTTCCTTTCGAAAACATCAATAAGTATGTAAAATTTTAAAAGTGGTACTGTGTAGCTTAGATTTTAGATTTAGAGATTAGTAGATATAAATTTAAATATCACATTTTTATAAATGTAGGTAGGATCTTTCTAAGCTTAAGCCTGGGAATTGCAATCTCGCTATCTGAACTGGTGGCCCTGAGATCCTCAAACATCTACTTATATTGAATTTATTTGTATGATTGTGAGTTCAGGGGAAGAGAGATGAGGGGAAAGGGAGGAAATTTTAGGTTGGGTTACATGGAGATAGAAAAGTCAAGAAGTGGGATGATGGATATGAGTGTATGGTGGCTGTCCTATGAACTAAGGGCAAAGGGCACATCTTATTTTTGTGAGCAGTATAGGTATAGTTCCCATAAAAAGAAAATTGCAGCCCTGTTTAGGGAGGATCAGCATTAGAAGACAGTATCCTGGATAAGGCAGTACCTTCATGGAAGATGCTATCAGTGGCCTGGGGCTGTCTTCAACATTGCATACAAAGGACATTACAGAACTTCAAGAAACATTCTGAGCACCCATGGGCCTCTTGAGGAGCTTCTGGAATAATTTTTGGTGGCATGTGTTTTTATAAGCTCTACATTAATGCAAGTAAGGGTACCAAGTCAAGGAAATGTATAAATATAAATGAGACCTTGTCTGTTTTGTGAATGAAAGTTCTCTGAGAAAGGAATTTCAAGGAAGGAGACTTTATTCTGTTGAGCGGTTTGCAGACCAGGGAGATCAAGGTGTGTTCCAGAGAACAAAGGGAGGGATCAGATTTTACTGCAAAGTTCCCACCCAAGTCAATCCAGTTTGTTTATGCAAATAAAGGATTAGGACTTGTGTAGCTCTGATTTGTTGATGCAGTTGAGTTTGATTGATCCATACAGCTGAGCTCAGATTGGCTGAGGCAGATGAACTCTGATTGATTCAGGTAAGCTCGGAAAGTTTCAAAGTAAAAAAGGTGTGCGTTTTGGGGGCGTGTGACCTCTAGTCAGCAAATCGCCCCTGGTTCTGTTTTATATTTAGGTCACTCAGGATCCGTTTTGAAGGACCAACGCCTTCAGATTCACATTTGTTCACAGTTTCTGTAAGGCTTAGAATTTTTATTTATTTAGGTTACCTAAGATTTTTTGGTGTTTCTTTCTTCTGTGGATTTCAAAGTTTTATGGTTGTTTTATAGAGCCTAGTCTTCAAAAACCACACACAGAAGCCCAATATATATAAGAGCAGAAGGGCTGTGTTTGAGGAATCAATTGGAGTCCCAGAACCATACTCACTCTGTACCCCTACTTTACCTCCCCCCCCACAGTGGGTCTGGGACACCTCTGAGGAATTCCCCAGGCTCTGCAGAAAGGTTTTGAAAGCCACGATTTAGGTAGGTGTCAGTTATTAACCAGTGCTACAAATAGAAAGACTTTGGTTAGTTTTACTATGTATTATTAAGAAGTAAATATTTTCATGTTTCTGCATGGTCAGGGCTTTGTAAGCAAAGAAAACTATAATAGAACCTGGGTTAAAGAACAACTCTTGAAAGTTAAAAGATGCCTGAATAGAGAGAGAACTTCCTGGAGCTGTGTCTATATTTTAAAGGGATGTGAAACCCAGAGCCTAGGAGACATTCTGAAGATTATAAACCCAGTGATGCATGTCTTGTCTCCCCCTAGAGACATTTATTTACATTCCAAAGGATAAGAACCCAATGACCTTCCTCTTTTTTTCCCCCAAGGAGAATTTGCCTACCTTAAGTAGATTAGCTTTGTCTCTCTTTCTCAGAGGAAGGTGGCAGCTCTGTAAAAACTTCCAGATTCAAAATTTCAGGATTCTCCTGTGATTCAAACCCTGTAGTGTTCAAGCCTAATCAACTGGTTCTCATTGCTTTGTGTATGGAGTATGAGGTATGGGAAAATGGTGCATTTCTTGATTTAAATAATAATAACTCTAATCTCTGCACCAGAAACCTTGTGTTTACTTTCAGGCTACAAATGAGTAAATACAGAGATTAAAAATTTATGTGTTTTTGATGTAAAACACTTCTTAGGAAGATATACCTAATAATTTCTATGTACAGAAATGATTGTATGTATACTTCAAGCATAAGGTTTACCTTAACATTTCTTGAAACTTTCTAGATTATCTGTGTTTCCCTGATGTACCTGTTGTTAGCTGTTTCATGTTGGAGACTACTGGTAGTGGCAAAGTAAATGCATCTCTAGAATGTGGTTAGCTCACTCATTGATAGGATTAAGCCTGCATTGAAGACAGTAGATTATTTCACCATCATTTAAGCAATGGTATCATTGAAAAAGCAAAATTTAGAAGCAGCTTGTTTTCAAGAGTTTCTGAGAGCCAAATTCCACTGTTTCATTAAAATTTTGTCTTATTTTCGTTTCTAACCATGCGTGGTAGTCAAGCACAGGTAAAATGTCTTATACCTGTTTAATTCTTTATAGACTAATATTCCTTACCCAGGTGTAACTCAAGTATTAACTCACACTTATAAAAGTTATCACAGAAAATAATAAAATTGCTGACAGATTACTTTTGTATGGCAAAAAATATAAGAGAGCATGAATATTGTTTTTCAGACACAAAGACTAAAAGTATGCTTTAAAATGAGTAAATAAAATTATAATGTCATTAGAATTTGCATCTTTGTACTTTTCCAATTATAAAAATGATATATACCTTTTGTAGAAAATGTGAAATGTTTAAGAAAATAGAAAACAAGGAAAAATATTGATCTCTTGTCCAAGAAACAATTTTTTAATGTTTAAATAAGAAACAATAAGGCCAAGTGTGGCTGGTGGCTCATGCCTGTAATCCTAGGGTTTTGAGAGGCCCTGGGAGGGAGGATCACTTGAGGCCAGGAGATTGAGAACAGCCTGGGCAACACAATGAGACCCTGTCAGTAAAAAAAACAACAAAGAATTAAGTCAGGCATGGTGGTGCGTACCTATAGTCCCAGCTACTCAGGAGTCTGAGGCAGGAGGATCTCTTGAGCCCAGGAGTTG